ATGCTGGGGAAAATGGTATGAAGACTTACTCCACATTATACTGCAGTTTTGGTAATATAATTCTTAAATCCTTATGTTTATTTTTAATAATAAAAGCATTCACAAATTTAGACATTGTTCCAACACAGCTGTTACTATATAAGTTAAGATACTTGCTATGCAGCCAATACAGATATCTGTTTTTACCGATAAAAAGAATTATGCAAAAAATGATAAAAGTAATTTTTATATATAAGTTTTATTTCTATGCACCTCAGGAAAAATAAATAAGGGGTATTCACAGTTTAGGTTGATCGCTGGGAAATGTTATATAAAAACCTATATTAACAGAGTTGCAAAGCATTCAAGAAAAATCACTCCAAATGTCAGAGGTACTACGATGAAAGCGTGACTAAGCTGTAATTTTCTGACTTATCGGGGCGCCCATCTGATATTGGCGAGACCCTGAAACTGCCTCTTCAGCGCTTGTCTGTCTGCCCAGTCAGAGTTAAGGTGTGAATCATCATCAGCTTCTTCCAGTTTCTAGAATCAAAAGGAGTGTTCACAGAAGAATTTAAGGATCTTAAAATGCAAAAGCAATCTGAAAGTTTCAAAATGATATAGACTGCTTATTATAAAGTACAAGGAATGTAATAGCTGCAGATAATTAAATTTATCACCACATTGTGTGTTAAAAACACCATTAACAAGGCAGAAAGAGAACCTGCTTTCTACCTTTTGTTTTCTCAGGCCTGCTCAACCTCTGGATTGCAGGAAAATCTAATCTGTGGTACACAGGATGTTCATACAGTATATTCAAGGATAAGGATATTAAATAGATACAGAATATTAGATGTTTAAAAAAAAGATCATACAATTGTTGTGGCAAACTGATATTTCAGCATTTTTAGCCCAGACACATTATCTGTTATTGTTGTGTTACTGTACTGTAACATTTTCAGTTCAGGGCGTGTGGTCTGTAAATATTGTGCACAGAGTTCAGTATAAATTTTGTTATGGGGAGATAAATGGGTTAAGCCAAAGAAATGTAAAAGAAACACCTACCTTTAGGTCCTCTTGACGCTTGTAGTAATGCAGCATCATCTGCTTCTGATCCTCTGCACTAATCACTGGCTCACGAGCAGGAGCTCCTTGTCCTCGCTTGTTCATATAGAATATGAGATTATACATCATTATTTTCCAAAGATAATAACAATGTTCGAAATTTAAAACACTACTGGATAAAGACGTAGAGCACCACATCCATTATCACACAATTAGTCCATTTCCATTTCACCACCAATAATTTTAGGACTCGTGTGCCAAATTAAAAACAAGCAAAAGACCTCCTGTACCACAACTTATTAGGCAATAATGTGCCCGTCACAAAACTAAAACAAAAAACTTGATCTACCATGTCTTGTTGCCACAGCTTGTGAACAGGAGGCTTCCCAGACAAAATACAGGGTAAAGGGCATTTTATGCCTTTACCACACTCACTTCACATTATGTGTGATACATTCTTCAATAATAGTACATGAATGAAAGAGGTGTTACAGTTTACCACATACCTTCTGTATCTTCACCACAATTTTTGTCTTCTCATTTTTTCCCACATATTCTTGTAGTTTTTTCCCCCTTTGCAACTCCTTTGCTGCCCACCACAGTTGCGACTCTTCTGGAGGAATCACCTGCAATGCTGCCTTAAAGTACCAAAAGAAAAATAAAGTGATGTGGAAGTGTGATAGAGAACAAAATAAAATATATATATATGCATAAACAGAACTTAAAAGATATAATCTACACTGAAATATGAAATAGTGCATTCATTTCCATGTTGTTACAGCTCTGTTTTCAGTGACATGAATGTAATCATTGTTTTCCCTGCTAAGGTCCAGAAAGTTTTTACTATGAAGTCCACCACACTCTGTTTCTGAGACCTTTTCGAGATCATTCCTCTTGGGCTGTGGCTTTGTGCAGATGTGCATGTTTGATTACTGTGGGGAAATATGTTCAAGTACATCCAACTGTTGTGGCCTGTGTGTTTATCATCATGTCAAATGTCCTTACTGTTCTATTGCTATTAGTGGTGGGTCCCAATCTTTATATTCATTTAATGAAGATTGCTAAATTAACTGGTTTGGAATTACACTACTTTGGTCATGTGTCAGCCTGGAGTGCCAGATCAATTTGCTGTCCTGGATGTTACCAGTTTGACCAGTCCATGTCACTGATGGGCACTTACTGTGCACCAGCAGCCGGTATTGCAGGCACAGGGCTGAACAGGCTTGCCTGCAACTGGTGGCTCTTCGAGAAAATATATATATATACTAAGTATCACCTTTATCTTCCCAAGGCTAATCTAATGAAATGGATCACAGGGTATCTACCTGTGTGCCTGAGAGGTCTTCTTGATCTTCAAACTCCATCCTGATTGGGTCATGTGGAGGAAGCCCCATTGGATAAACTATCATAACTGCACCCCGGAGTTGATCAAGGGCATCTTTTATCATCTCCAGAGTTACACATACATTGGCTTGAACTTGTTTCTGAAAAAGACATTTCAAACAGCTTTAGTACAAATCAGTCTAAAAAAACTACTAAAAGTTTCCACTTATTGAAATATAGTCCTGTACAACTGTCTGTATAACATTTGTACCAACTTCCCAATGTCTGTCATAGTTTACTCATCATCTTACACATTTAAGAGCAGATATGTTGAAACAAGACTTCTTAATCAAAATAACCTGTAGAATGATACACACTTCATCTGACTGAGTAATTAGCAGTCAGAGGGAGATAAAAACCACGAGGAGGAAGAAAGCTGTCAGGATAAGCTGTTTGCATAGAATAAAACAGTCTTCTGGTTAATTGAGAGGCTTATAAGAACAGCAAAGAGGAAAACTGTTACAGTCTGTGTCTAGACTCCAGGCTGTAAGGAGGTAGTGAATGAGAGCTTAGGTGCAGCTGTGGGAGAGCTGTAGGAGAGCTGTGGAAGTTTTCTTTATTAACGGACTGAGGTGGCTTACAGGTCTGTGAGAAAATACAGGAAAACACAGCTTAGGTCTGTACTGAGGACCACCTGTCCAGCTCCTGTGATGCTTGTTTGGTAGTTTGTTAGCTAGGCTCCATGGGGTTGAAATGCCAAAAAAAAGAAAGGGCCAGCTGAACCAGATCTAACAGGATGTGTCAGTAGCTAGATGATTAAGGGATCACCTGGTACAGTAGGTAGCAGTGTATCTTCTCTCCACAGCTGAGAGAGGAGTCTAGATAGCACAAGATGAGTCTTGAATACTCCCTGGGCCTCACACCATCAGCAAACAGATGTAATCACACAATCAGACCAGGTGTGTCTCACTCTACATTTTTTTTTCCTTTCAAAGCTATCTCCCACTACCTCACACATACTTTACATAGGTTAAATGCATACAACAAGGCAATGCCCAGAGGTAAACCAAAATATCTTGCTGAAGAAGCAAGGAGAGAAATTACACATCACTGTGTAATCAGTAAGGAGTTTTTTTTGCTGTCAGGAACCATTAATCCACAACCATTTTGTTGTAAAATATAAAATTCTGTATATTTCAAAAGTTAATAAATACAGGTGTCAAAATATGGATTTTTAAAGAAAAACTCTTACCTTAGAAATTAATGCATTAGCTTCCTCTATTGTTTTTTTTAAAACTTGTTTCATTTTTTCATTTGGAGCTGGAACGAGAAAAGTCATCGTAAAAATTACTAAGAAAAGAAGAGGAATATAATTTATAAAATCAAATAATGCTATGATATATAAAATATTGAACTGCAGTTGTATTATACATATTGACAACTATCGGCACCAGAAATGTCCCTATGTCCCAGTTTTAAAAAAATCCTATTCCAGCTGTGTTATTGGAAAATACTCGTTCTATAATAATTGCTAGGGTCAACCTTATTTCTTTCTTTCAACACCATGAATGGACCAATCAAACTGCTCCTTGTCTGCTTTTTATTTGGATGAGGCTAAAATATTTGGTGAGTCGTCAAAGTTTAAAATCATTAGCCTCGCATGAAGTCTAATTGCCCTTGTTCTTCAGAAAAATATGATTCGTGTTGCTTGTTTTTGTTTTTACTGACATGTCGGCATTTCAAAGAGTGCATACTAAAAATACCCTCATGCCATCACAGAAATAACAGCCATCTGAGAAAAGACCTATGAGAAAAGACCTTGTTAGAAATGTCTAATTTTACAAGGGCACGTCACCATGACAATAAGGAATCTACTCTATGGAATAAAACAGACTTCCCTGAATAAGGGACACTTTTTATGAATACAGAGTAGTTACACATTAGAGGAGGCCATTTATCCCACCTAGTCGGTTTGGCAGTAGTTAACTGATCCAGGGATCTAGTTCAGCCTTTCTTGAAAGAAACCGGAGGATCGGAAGAAACCGGAGGATCGGCTTTTTTCATACCCTGGCCATTCCTTCTTCCAATCTCATCCTTTTTTAACTCGGCTCCTCCACAAGGCACACACTTCTCTGCCCACTCATCCCGCAGCTTCAGGTCCTCGATCTGCTCGTCCGTCAAGCCTTGCATGTTTGGAGGGAGGGTAATCCCATGCTCTGCAAGCTCTTCCATTTCTTGTGACAGTAAATATCGGAAAAGATTAGGATACCCACATGACATACCATCACATGAGAAAAACAAAATCACACATATACAACCAATGAGCACACAACAGACTTTTATCCATCTATCAATTTTCTAACCAATTCATTCAATCCTGGCAAGCAACCGGTGCAAGGCAGGATACACCCTGGACTTAATGCCAGTCCATTTAGGGCACATACAGACACACACACACTCACACCAGGGCCAGTTTTCTCAAAAGCCAATGAACCTTCCGGTATGTTCTTGGACTGTGGGAGGAAACACACACAAACACAGAGAGAACAAACAAGCTCCATACAGATAGCACCCCCAGATTCAGAATTGAACCCAGAGCCCCAGCGCTGCGAGGCAGCAATGCACTGTGCTACCGTGCTTCCCAAAGAATATAAAAACACAAAATAAAAATGGATGATGACTGGCCCTGACATGCAGCGTATTGCGTGTGTACACAGACAACACAGGGACGCACCTGAACAAATCCTGTCCACTTTGAGTCTCCCATTATAA